GGTGAGAAGAACAGCAGTGAGAGAGACAGCACTCCGCAGCGGGAGCTCACGGGAAGCGTGCCCTGTCCACGCTGTATGAGCAGAAGGAACTCAGCACTTGTAATCAACTATCTCTTGAAGCATCTCTCTAACCTCTGAAGATGTCATATTCCTTCTCTTCATCTTCGATTTCTTTGCCAGGGCTGAACAGCACAACATCGCCTGTGTGAGTCCTGACCATACAGCCAGAACAGATATTGGGAATTAAAGATATTCCAACATATCCAGTATGAAAATATGCCCAATGAGTACGTCCAACTGGACGGCATCCCGGGGCTGTCCTTGCTGGGTCATTAATCCAGTATCACAAAGCTTGATGCCAGAGGAAGGTCTGAAACGCTCCGTAGGGCACGACACCGGGACCTCTGTCACAGACCGAGTGCAAGTAGAATTTGTTAAAAAGTGAAGCGTCCAATCATAGGTCACTGTCTGCAGACTCTTGAAAAAGACCCCATTACAAAAACATGATATTACAACATAACTGTTGTATAGAATAGTTATTCTTAATTAGGAAAGTAGTCACTTAGACAGTGACCTTCACTTTGAATTTCCTGGGCACTTCAGTTTCACGTGACTTCTCACCAGACGTAGATGAGTGACTGTAACAGGTATAGACTAGAAAACATTACAAACATCAAATCTTATTTAAAAGAACAGAATCTCAGAGTACAACTAACCACTACATCATTAAACCCTACAAGTACAATTTGCACGGCTCTGGCCAGATTTCATGCCATCCTGGGGTCCCATCTCTCCAGAGGGAACCATTGCACATCTGTAACGAAATCAGAGGAATTGCAGCCCAGAGACTTGACCCTCCTGCTTTGGTTTTTTTTGACTACAGCTTCATCCTGTAATCAAATATCATGTGCGTTCAGCACAGTCAATACACAAAAATGTAAATTACTTCTCCACAAGAAAAGCAGCACTGAAAAAGAATTAGATGTTCCTGGAACCTGCGTAAAGATTTAACAGGATGAGTCAAAATATCTATTTAAATATAGAAAAGAAGTCAATAAAAAGCTAAATGTTGAAAATTATTTAGAGAGGAAAAAAACCCAGCCTTTTTCTCCCACTCCAATTTACTCATGTGCGCCGCTCAAAGAGAGCTTTTTATGAGATATTTTCAGTTCCAAGGTTGCTTCCTTTGAGCAGTGAGCGTGGCTGGGAGCTGCTGGGGTCACGCTTTCCCAACGCTCGTTTTCTCTGCCAAGAGAATACCACAGCTTAACGCTGCAAGCTGCTGCATTAGCCAAGCTTCACATCTGCACGCACTTAGAAATGCAGTTTCTCTCTTGCTTTTAGCGATTTCTGGCAAACCTAGAAGTGCTCAGGCCTGTGCAGCCCCTTACACCTGGGCGAGGAGTGTTCGTGCCCCAAGTGCTGCTGATGAAACCTCGCACACACCTGTGTCCCTGCAGAGACCAGTCATCACTGGAGCCGAACTGCAGCACTACCTATCTCCTAAACACTTTGTGTTTTGTTTCATCATAATGAGGTATGACTTAAATTAAAAAAAATAATATTACCATCACACCAGAAAATGCTATAATCACTTGCTAAAATGAAATGCAAGCAAATTAAATCTATACTTTAAAAGTAAATCAAAATCACTCTGATTGAATACAAGCATTTTTCTGAAACCATGCTTAAGTTTCCTTAACTAAAAGACAAGACATGATTTGGAGATATTGTCAAGTCATTTTTATGCTACAGACAGATAAGAGATATTATGGAAGTCCTGAAGTCCTGAGGACACAGTAAGTACTGTTTCAAATTCTCCATGCTGACAGCTTCAATTTTGGTCTGATTTATGTCCACCAAGGCTTATCTGACCTTAAGGACATGAACATTTGTTATCCTTACCTGATAAGGTGATTCTTTGTTCCACTATAACTACCTCGCTATGGCCTAGCAGGGAGCAGTGAGGTGATGCGTGTGATGGGGCTGGGACACCTGATGGAGCCAGGCTGAAGACAACCAGACACACTGTCCCAGCAGGAACAGCCTCAGCCCGGCACCGGCCAAGCTGCCCCTGTGTCACCCCAGCCCCGTCTGTACCCTCCAGGCTGGTGACAAGGACCTTGCTGACAGAAACCCTCCGGCTGCAGTTTGGGTAGAGCCCTCCTCAACTCCTCCTGCAGCTCGGGGGACAGGGAGATGTCTCAGAGGTGCCCACCGTGTCCACACCAGGGTCCCACACTGCTCCTGTGGAGCTATTCAGGTCAGGCACAGCTCGCTCTGGAACAAAGCGCTGCTTCACTGAAAACACACCTGCAACAGGGGAGGGCACTGGAAAACGATGGGCTTCTCCCTTTATTACTGTTTCCACAACAGCAGGTGCCATGTTTATTTTTCCCATGGAGCAGGTTACACTCTGCCATTTGGCCACCTGGTAAATATTTTCCCACTGATGGTTCCCTACCCACTGGAGATGCAATAACTGTCAACAGATACTGGCTTTTAGAATCACAGGTTCAAAACCCCCACTGTCCTGCCCTTCGCGAGCAGCCTCTGGCGCTGCGTGCTCTAACACCCAGCACAACGAGCCAGCCACAGCATTACAATAAACAAGGGACTATGTTTAAGCTTGAGCCTTTTAAGCAACAGAAAATGAAATTATGCGTCCCTAAATATTGACAAGCTGCCTACAAATACCACCCAATATTTAAATATCCAGGGCTCCTGCAGTGAAACCTGTTCCTCTATCTCTGCCCCAACCTCCCACCCCACTGCAGCGGGGCTTTGGGGAGGGCAGTACCATACCAACCCTGCATCTCCTTCTACACATTTCACTCCAAATTTTATTTTCACTCAAGTTTTAGCCACCTCTTTCGCCTTTCATTGCGTTCATGTGAACACCAGTCCACAACTCCACAAAACAGAATCCAGACAGAATCAGTGTTACTCACAGAAGAGGCCACAGAGGAATGAGATCCTTCACTTGGGAACGCACTGACCTTCAGAAAATCCCAACAGTCAGATGTTCCAAGCCCAGACAGTGAAATTCGGCTTCCCCTTGGATTTTTAAGCAATCTTTACAGAATTGGCAGACAAAAAGTAAGTTTAGAGGACAATTTTTTCTCCTATATTGTTCTAAATTTTAAGGTAACAAGACTTGTTAGAAAAATAAAAAGACCTTTAAAAGCAAGTTTCAAGACTCAAAGACTCACGCTGCAATTAAGATGCTCCCCTCCCCTCACCTCCACCCCCTTGGATAAAATCTCCTTCATCAAAGTTCTGTGGACTTTAATAGGATCAAGATTTGAACTAAGTTAGCTGAAACTGTAACTTTTGAGCTTTAAATGGAGTTTGCCCTCTAAGCTACTTTGACTTTTGGACTTTGTGGCCAATTTCCACAGCTCTACATCTGGAAGACCAAAACGAAGCAGAACAGTGAACGGAGATTTGAAGGTAATGCAAGGTATTTTCATGTGTCTGAGAGAGACTTTCCAACAGAGATACTTTATTTTTCCCCCTCCTATCTTTTACTCAACATGTGCCCTTCTGATTAGAGGTAAAAATAGGGAAGTAGGTTAAATAAAAAAAAATAAAAAATTCAATAGCAGTTAATTCAGATTAAAATTAGCAATTTTTTTTGAAAAATGAAAGAAGTCCAACAAATTTAAAAAAATAGTATTTCTGACAGAAGTGACAATTCAAGACTATTAAAGATATTGTCCTATGAAGGATTATTTGTAACTTTAATTTGAGGATGTAAAGAAGTTAACTTTTCTTTTGCTATACTACACATGTAAAAAAAGATCAAAGAAAGAAAAGAATTGAGATTCAAATTCCATTTTTAAGCAAAAATGACAATGTCTTCCTGAGTTAAAATTAATCCTTTAATGATGAATTTCAAAGGTTTAAATACTTTCTGTGACCTTGGCTTTAAATAATTATGCCAAGCAGAGCTTTCCTTACATTCAGAAAAGATTGTGAATTGTTGATCACAGCCATTTTAATGGCTTCAGGCTGGCTGACTTCCAGCATAATCCCCCGAATGCTGTTTGAAATTACAGACCAAGAACCTGATGCAGGTAAATGAAATGTCACTTTCACAAAGGCTGTTCAAACAGTATCTGCAGATTGTTAATTTGTGCCACCGTACATCACTTTCCAATAAAACCTATGATTTATTACATTAAGGCATATAAAAGATACTTCAACAACTATCTGCTTACATATACACGTCTACCATAAATATTAAGTAGGGTTTTTTAGTTTAGCTTTTGAAATAAAACTCCCATCCATGTTTTAGCCCATGTCATCCCTAACGTGGTGAAATCCTTGAACTGCAGACGCCGGTAGAGGGGATGCTCGGGAGCTGAGGGACACCAGTGACCCCGCTGAACGGAAAGGGGAGGGAAGCACTGATCTATCTCAAACATTAATTTCTATTTTCAAGCCTTTCCCAGAGCCCTTGCTCACCCGATGCACACAGGCAAAAGTAGACCAGCCATTGTTAGCAACTAGACCCAATTTCCTTGCAGTTTTAGCCTGAACTTTTTCCTCCTTAAGAACTTTCCCTCTTTTTAAGGGAGAAAAAGCTCAGTTAAGCAGAACCGCCCTTTCCACTCTCTCTGTTCCAGCAAAGCAGAAGTGATTAGCCTAGTCCCTGGCTGGCTTTGCCTTTGAAATCCTCTGGATTTTTAAAGTCCCTCCAGCTCCCCAGCACCGCAGGGCCGTCCCCGCTCCGCGCTCACCACGGCCCAAACAGCCCCAGCAGCGACCACCCTCCTCACGCCTCCAAAGGGACGTCGTCTGTCACCACAGCACCACAAACCCTTCCCTACTGGCACCCTGATAGCATCATCCCAGCTCACATCTACGTCATGCAACTCTTTCTTCAACTCAAGCGACCCCTACACATTTCTCCTCAGTGAGAACTTATCTAACTTTTGGGGCAATTGCTCCCCTTTTGCCGTGCCATTAGCAGCAGCCCCACGTGAACCTCTTACCTTTTCCAAGGCCTTCTCTGTTTCTGCCGCGTGGATCTTTTTCAGGTCTAACGTAATTTTTTCTGCCTCCACTTTCATCTTGTTCATCGCTGTCTCATGGTCTCGAGCCACCCTCTGCTTCTCCTCTTCCCACTGGTGGCTCAGCTCCAGCAGCTGCTGCTTCCGCTGAGCGTTCACCTGGACGAGCTCTTCCCTCAGCTTGTGGATTTGGTTCTCCATATCACAGATAACCTGAAATACAGAGCAAACCAAGTATAAAAAGGAATGCCAAAACCACAAAAACAACCTATGTGATTTTCTGAGGCAGGCTGTTAGCCGGGGCAGGGAGGAGATCAGAAGGATTCTTTATCCCCTTCCTCGGCCTCCCTTCCTGCTCTTTCCCCTCTCTTCACTCCCCCAGGGGAATGCAGCCCCTCCCCACACAAAGCAACGATGGAGCAAGATTTACCTTTTTGGAGGGAGTGTCCCCATAGGTGAAGAAATTTAGTTTGTGGCACACAATCACTATCTATAACGTCCCAGCCGCCTTTTGGGATTTTGTTTTTCTCCCTTAAGAAATGACGTGCCATCTTCTAGTGAGATATCACTGTCTTATCAGTCATTGATCCATGACACTACAGATTATAGGCTGTATTTCATCACAATGTGCTAACGTACACCAGGAACATCTCAAAGAACATCCTGCTCCAGGTGCAGGAACCAAAGCACACCCAGAGAGGATGACAAGGGAACCCTGAAGACTCTGCAATCACAGTACGGAAAAGAGACAGGACCTTCAACACGCAAGACATGGATTTCAGAATCCACAACTCTCTTTCACGTGATCCCAGACCATCCCTCAGTCCTCGGGAGCAATAACACGTTGTGTGACACAGCAGTGGCACAGGGGGACGGTGGTGCGGGAGCAGAAGAGCTCACTGCCCTCCCCAGGGGAAGTCACACACGGAAAATCTGGGTTACCCCGACGCACAGAGAACACAGGCTGCTGCTGGGCAGTGCCAGCAGAGCAGACATTTATCACTTCACATTTACACACAACTCTCAGGAGTTACTTTTCTAACTGCATTTCTTCTGTAGCTTCTTAAACAAAGCATAGGAGCGTTTTATCTGTGACATAAAAGCTTACAGCCAATTGCAACGCAGGATGTTGTAAGCACATACATGTTTTCTTTCAGAAATACAAGTCCAAAAATTAGTGTTTTTCACTAAAAATCTTACACAGCATCTCCCCCTTTTTCCTCCCTGCTTCACAAGTGACTATGCAGTTCCCTGGAATTCCTTCACAGACGATGTGACAACATTGAGATGAGAAATTGATGTTCTACCAAATAAATGTAGGTGACTCAACTCAAGCTTATTAAAGGTTTCATAAGAAAATCTGATGAAAATTGCTGTATAAAGATTCCATTGCCCTGGAACACCAGTTACTGCTCCTAGAGCTTTGAACTGACCTCTCTCTCCAACTACTATTTTTCTTCTTTAGACATTTTCAATATACTGTCTGTATTCAGCTAAACCATCTATTTGCAGTCTCTGAAAACCACATTACTACAAATCTTTGAAAAAGAAACTTTCATTCCTGACCAAGGTTGGGAAATGAATGACTATCAGAAACATTGCCTTGTACATTAATATCCCACGACAGATTGTTATAAATACTCTGATCTGAGAGAGAAAAATCCAGGCGTGAAAGTCTGACTGTTTTTCCAAGCTATTTGAACTATATGGTATAGTAAAAGACACGTCCAGTTGTGTCCTTTGACTGTCACAGCCGTAGCATGTATTAAATAACATTAACCATCCTGGAAACGTCACACAAGACTGCATTTGCCTCCACACTTTCTTAATTACTGATGGGCATCCTTCCCTCTCTGTCTAAGGTCCGAGTGTGCAGAGACGGAAGGAGCACACCATTGTACACAGCCACAGACCTCAGCTCCATCAGCATCATCTCAACCACATGTTTCATACAGTGTAATCTGCACTACAGCCTTTCCTTCCTTTCCTGGTCTTTTTGTCTACACGTGTAATTTTTTAAATCTGTGTACAGACTAAAAATGTAAAGTACATTTTAGTACATAATTGTACAGACTAAAATGTAAAGTTCATTTTAGTACATAATTATAATCTACAATATACTTTTATAATTCTTTTAGAAAATAATTTCACCTTCAGGTTGTTACAAAACGTTAGCCTAACTGGCTTTTACTTAACCAAAGAAATGCTATAGATCTACAATTTCTATAGGATGACATGGTCTGAGTTCTAAACCGACACACGGAGCAGCATTTGGGTTTTTTAATAGCTGTTCCAATGCAAGTCCTGCCTGGAAGAGTAACAATTATCTTTTAATCTATGAAAGCTTTTTTTGAGAGCTCATTCTCCCTCCACTACCACATTCCTTTTTTTTTCCTTCCTTCTTTTTTAAAACAGAAAACTTCCTTCAACTTTTTTTCTTACCATGTAAGTAAAACTAAGATATTACATTGCTCAGAAGTTTCCTAAAAAGTTTGATAAGGACCCAAGGCTAACTCTTCTTATAATACAGGGAAAATTTATTCATAAATCATATTACCAGCCAAAATAGAGATTGGGTGAATTCCTGGCTCAACTGTTAGGTCTTTCTGCTTTACCTCGTTCTATATTCAATAATTCTTATACAAAGCCATTAGAAAATCAAGTAGCACAATACAGTGTTTCCTACTGCCTGCCCATGGCAAAAGTAACAGCTCCGAGCCCCCAGATTCAAAACTGGGAGCCAAAAGAGAGTGGTCTGAATGCCATAGGTAGAGTAACAGTAATTAATATGCAAAGGAGCATTAATGTTGGACCTAATAGATGGCAAAAGCAGATTTGGTTCTATTAGGAAAGAAGAAAGAATCTGAAGACGGGGCGATGGCAGCGAAACTAATATGATTAAGGAGTCCTTTTGGAGCAACTTCACTGCTGGTAAGATGATGTTAAGAGACATCTAATCTCTCCAAAGTGACTGGAAAAAGCTTATATTGGGGATCACCGCCACAGTTCTTGTCAATTACTTTAAAATAAGTCTAGTTCTCCCAGCCAGATTATTTTTTCCATAAACGAAGTCACTGGCAGAAGCCTCTTACAACTGAACAAGTTGCTGCACGAGACACCCCCGTGTGACACGGGGATCTTCAGAGGGCTACGGACACGGACCCCAACTCCCCGTCACTGACAGGCTGCTATTCCACACACCAGGGTTAATAAACTATTGTTACACTTCAATGTAGGCAAATTAGTACTACTAGGAAAAAAAGACCCCAAGATGACATAATTCTCAGATGTGAAAAATTCATGAACTATAAAACTTAAAAGCAACTGTCTTTTCTTAATGATTCTGTGGAAAAACAAAAGATGCAATTACAAAATCTCACTTCTTGTGCCTGAGGTCTGAGGGCATGATGCTGGTTGGGTTTGTCTGTGAAACTGAACCCCCTTTCTCAGGACTGGCTTCCTCAGTTCTTTCCCCGGCTGCTCAGGTCTTTGTTTGGGAACAGGTTTGCGCGGCCCAACCAACCACCTGGGGACCAGAGAAACACACAGCTTCAACGCTCGACCACAGCAAATCATCCTTGGGCTAAACATCAGGCTTAAACATAAGAAATAAAGACTTCCCACTATATAACAGGTCCAAAATTCTATTGTTACTTGCTGCCTTTTTTTTTTTTTTTTTTTGGATCAAAATGTGATAGTCTTTATTTCAGTTGTACAGGTACAAGAAAATGAAATAAGAGGGATCCCTATCTTTTTTCCAAAGACAGGAGTTCATCACAACTCTGCAGGATGGCCATGCCATGGCCCAAACAAGAAAGCATTTTGTAAAAAGACTATTAATCCACAAAAAGAAAAACAAATAGAAAGAAACTACTAGTTTACAGAGTATCCCAACTGGAACAAAAATACAAATATTTAAAGTAAACTGTTTGAGAGGGTAGAGATTTCATATGAATTTATATGGCACAGTTGTATGTATGTGTATGCACGTATGACAATCCCTTCACTGAGGAAACTGCTCGCTGAGATGCTGATTTCTATTTCTGTTTCAAAGGAATAACTCAGAATTCTAACTAAGAATATCTGTGCTGAAATAGTGTCATAAAAAGGGTGGGTCATAAGCCCACAGCAATTTGCCTGTAGGGAAAAAATAGACTTGAAAGAAAAAAAGAAGGTTGCTCACTCACTTTGGCCTATTTAAAATGCCAATAAATGTTCTGCATGTTATTTGGAAGGAAAACATGTGCTCTTAATTTTAAAAAGTAAATTGCATAAGAAAATATAAAGCTGGCAAAAAGTTTAAATTAAAATATGTTGCTGATGTCTGAAACTCCGCTACAGTTACATGCAGCAGAGACGAGAAATGGACCGAATGACTACAGTCTAATTAAAAAAAAAAAGAAAGATATATTCTCTTTCTTTTTTAGGAGCTCCTACTTCAAGCGCATGAAGCATTTTCTTGGCTGAGTTTCTAAGGAAGAGGCTGGAGCATGACCGCATCTTTTATACTCAGGGATGGAATACACGGGTCTCACTGTCTCCCTGTCAGGGTATTACACACCAAACCACATCCACCCCATCACCATATTTAGCTTCAAACAGTGTCGAGGGCATTTTAAACTCACAAAAACAAGGCAACGCAGAGTTAAGATCAAATCCACTTTTAACTTATTCCCCAAGGCTCAGATCTCCAGTCATTTAGGTGTTGCTTCAGCAGATTTTACAGTAAGTGACTAACATCTACCAGCAGACGAAGCTGCAATAACCCTTCCTGGCTCTGCCTTGCTGAGTGTACTTGGGGTGATGGGAAAAAAAAGCATCACTTTTAAAGGCACTTCTCAAGTGGATTGTGACAACTCTCCAAACTGAGTTTCAGAAGTTCTGCACTGGGCTGACTTAGAGACCTGTGCCGGCATCTGCAGCTGGAGCCTGCGGGTGTTTGCTGTGTTTAAGTTTGCTCACATGTAACATTTTGAAAAACCCAACAAAACCCCCCCAAAACCTCTGAGTGGTTCCATGGACTTCCTTCAGACAAGAACTGGTAGGTTACACGGTCACAATGGTCCTGTCTAGGATAAAACCCTAAAACATTAGCCCGTAAGGACCCGATTTGAACGTAAGTAAGAGCTGCTGCCCCTGCCTGTGCCAGCATGGTCTCAGCATTTTCTCACCTGGAAGAACATTGAATTTGTGGGTGTGTTTGAACAGTGCCT